TTTTTTTTTTTTGCTGTTGGTTTATTTGGTGTCCACTCTATGGACTCGTGACAAGTCTGGCGTAAAAGGTATGGGACGTTTGTTATAATGACCCTGAAAAAATCCTGAAAATTTAGGACTCTGTTAACCTCTTCTCACCACCCTAACTGTGGGAAACGCTTACTGGCAGATGCTGCCTTAGTGGCGTGCGAGCTTCATCGCACCGAAAATGGATCGGGGCTCAAGTGGCATGCAAGCAGCAATGCAAAGAGTTGTTGGAGATAACGGGAAAGATCTTGTCCACTTAGTCCCACGAGCGCTTGCTTGAGTATGCTATTAAGTCCAAAAACTTTTGAAGTTTTGATCTTGAAGTCGTGATAACAAGGCGCCGCTTATACACTGAGCTTGGCCCTACACAGCGCAATGCTTTATGAGGCCCAGTAGAAGAGGGCAATAATTCATAGATAGCATCCACAATCATTTCAATGACCTGGCTAATGATGCATCTTTCTTCTAAACTCAGCGCTGACCAATGTCCTCGCAGTCTGTTCAATTCAACTAATGAAGGCTATGCAGTCAACAAGCGGTCTGTATGGGGAACTTCATTCTCCCTGTTGTAACTGTGCCGCCTCTGTGTGATCCTCATGCGAGAGCTGACTACTTGTGTGGAAAACACTGTTGCTCTGTCCTGATGCAGATATGAAGCTATCATAAAAAAAAGGATTTCATGTACTCGAGGTGTCGGGACAGGCCTATTAGAAGATAATGGGTCTGTCAACAAGTGGAGAGCATTCAAAGGTGAGTTTCCTTGGCGCCTTTTGGCCGTTCAGGAAACCCCTTTTTAGCTTTTAAAATTTAATGGGATGTCGTAAGGGGTATTCCCCTGACAATTCTTCTTGTCTTTACATATATATATCCAATACTAATAGGCTTTAAACTTCCTAAACTCATGATGATCGGTTTTGCTATAGCCGCAAGTGGCTATCATTTAGCCATAAGGCAGGGACAAAGAATGCGACGGCTTTACAAACTGAAATGACGCGCACGCCCTCAGTGAGGGAGGAATGCGACGGCCTTACAAACCAAAGTGACACTCACGCTCTCAGTGAGGGAAGAATGCGACGGCTTTAAAAACCGACGGCCTTTGGGTCTCTTTTGTTTTTTTTTTKTTTTTTTTTTTTGTGGGGAGCAGCACGTGCTGGGAACTGGGCCCAGTGTCCCTTATCATTGGAATACATTGATGATTGATGAAAATTTGGGATGATTCAGGAACACTTCAGGATGATTGAGATAATAAGTAAGAGATTGAAGCTTATTACTCAGAGTGCTTATCTACTCAGATCTCACATGCTACCCTAACCCTAATCTCAGGTATCCATACCAACCAGCCAGTCTCTACCGAGCCAATACTGTATACCAACCAAGCCTCCACCTGGTCTCACACCCCAATCTAGCTAGGTTACAGGGCAGCGCCACCCACCCCAGCGCCGACCCTCGTCGGTCAGATTGTTGCCTTCGGTCAAGTATTGTAATTGCCTTCCACCCTCAGCAATCCCCAGATCTCTATCCAAGGCCTCAAGCTCCTATGAAGGTTACAGGGCGATGCCCTAGCACCGGCCACCGTCGTTCTGGATGCTCCTCAACCTGGGCAAGAACACAATACAAGCTCAATTAGGAAATCAGCTAGACTAGAATGTAACCTAAAAATTCGGATATGATAATCGTGGGATCTTGAGCAAACAACCAATCTGATGATGATGATGATGATGATGATGATGATGATGTTGATGATGTTGTTCTCTGTGAGGGAAAGAGAGAAGTTATCTGATGGCGAAATGGCTCTCGCGCTCTCTGTGTGGGAAAGAGAGAAGTTAACTGAGGGCCTTTGGGTCCCAAGTGGTTCTGTGGTCTCTGCTGGTTCCGGGTTCGTTCCTTCTTCCAGCTTGTGGAGTTTCTTTTTTTTTTTTTCCTAAAAATTTGGACCATTTCTCGATTTATGCGTGTCAACCTTAAGTGCGCAGGGGCCATTTTGGTAATTACCCTTCTCTGTATCGTTCCAATTTTAACGGATGTCCGGAAGGACAGCTTGCGGGGTTCCTGGTTCTCCCTTTTTCCTCGTATGAATGGTTCTGAGGGTGACTGGACTGATGGCCCCCAGAACAGAAAAAGGGGGCTCCCCAATCCCCTTTTAACCAGCCTATCCTTTTTCGTCTTTTGAATCTCAAAGTGGTTGCTGCTATGTCTGAACGTCTGGTCTGTTCACCCTTTCAGGCTTGTTGAGGTCTTAACAATGCTGGGGGAGGGTTGATGCTGTTAGATTAGACAGTTAATTAAACCACCAGTACTTTGCCCAGCTATCGGCTGCAGCGCCTCCCCGTTAACGCGCCGCGACTGTAGGGCCTTGGGGTACCGGACCACAATGGCCGGAAGCGCCAGCCAAAAAAGAATTGAAACACCGCCCGCCGGTTCGGCAAAAGTTGGCGCGCAGGGGGTCGGCCGGCGCGGCATCGATAGCTTGGCCAAGTACTGGTGGTTTAAAGCACCACTACCTTTCCCTCATATCGGCCGCGGTGTGGGCCCCCGCACGTTTCGGAGGCTGCTGTTCATTCGGCCCAGGCCCCGAAATACGAGGTATACCGGGTATAGGCAACATACGGTTATATACCCACCTTTCCCAACACCGGGAAACCGGGGAAAGGTAATGGTGGCTTAACGTATCTGATGATACACTTTTCCATCTTGTTTTTGTTTCAGCGTGGAAAACTTGTTTGGAGCAAGTGCTGGTGCTAGGGACAGTTGGACGGAATATAGGGGATCAGCGGCTGAGCTGTACTCTGTACTGCAACTCTGGGATTGGAGATGGGGGGATTGGCATTGGGATGATTGTTTTGCCACTGATCATTTTTTGTGCTGTGATCTGATGCTTGTCAGAGCACAGAGGGCTTCTGTCTTAGGCACCTGGTCGGGATCAGGGCAAGAAATCTTTTCCCGGAGAGGATAAAACCGTTCGCGGACCATCGATTTGGAGTGTACTTCACACTGATAAAACCGGGAGTCAATTGGCCAGCTGCACGCGGCTGCACGGGGGTTGACTTTGCAGAGAGCTCTGTGAATATTTGTCAGCATGGCTTGTCTGACAGGGGTGACGCAGGGAGGGAGAGCAACTCAAACGGGGAGCTTGAACGGGCGAAGGGAGGGGACTACGTTCCATGGAAAGAATGGGGTTCGGAGGGTGAGAGAAGGGAGGCGGCCGGTTCTTTACCGGAAGGGATGACGACTGCGAAGAGATGTGGTGCAGCCGTCGATGCGGGTCATTGTGGCCGCCAAGCGTCGTGCGCAGACTGTTCTTGGAGTGATCAGATCCTGTACTCGAGCGAGATCTTAGAGGGAACCCTCAATCCTGATTGGCAAGCGATCGACAAGAGCTTGCTGCCCCAGCATGCCCTAAACGGCATCAGATATGTGCAGCTGAGGACGTGGGTTGTGGACTTGGACGAAGCCGAGAGACTGATTAAGGTTGGTGGGGAGGAGGACCTCATTGATGCATACGGTGATAGGCAGACAAGCAACAAGTACGCACAATCAGAAAAGAATGTTCTGCGGAAGATGCGGAAACCAACAGCGGGTCCAAGGTGGAGTTGGAGGAGTGTACAGAGTGGAAGACATGTTGTGGGTGCAGGAGAGAGATGTCGGTGCATGACATCTGAAGGGAAGGTAGGTGGGGGTGTTCTGTGGAACTGATGATTTCCAAAAGAAAAACGAAGAAAAGAAATCCCTTAATCCTCCTTTGCCCATGAGTACTGTGCATTGTCACTGGCTTGCGATCATGATATCCTTTTTTTTTTGGGGGGGGGGAGCGTCATGTCATGGTTTTCTTTCACTGCCTGGTGTCGGTAAATGATGGCTTGGCATTGTGTGCACTCTTCCTGCTGCAAGGTCCCGGTTTACCCGTATGCCTCGTTCGCCAGACCGTAAATTGCAGATGTCAATAGCCGGAAGTGTGACCTGTCACCCAAAGTTTCTCCTGCAAGCCAATGCGTTTGCCGCGTTTGCGGTGTGGTGACGACTAATAAGAGCAAGCACACTTTTTAAAAGTTTTTTACGTTGTTTAAGGCTGGCTGTAATTGTGGACATGAGCTTGATGTAACTCTTGATGATGCTGTCGCCGACCCATTGCTCTGGATCCTAATCGCCATCTACTAATTCGACAGAACCTGCTGTTAGCTTTGATGTGAAACAGGTTTAGGTATTGGTCTGGTTGCCTGTCTGTCTTCGTCTTTATTCTCTGCATGGTCAAGCGGGGTGGATTTTGACTTGTATTCTACGGGAATTCCGGTGTGCTTGCTCTTATTAGCTGAGATGAATCTCTACTGAATTACAGCTTGTGTGTTGAAGGGAGGCAAAGTGCTGTAATACCTTGTATTGCTGAACGCATGCGACAGGATGGGTGCAGCTAGAGCAATGCTACCTTCGTCTCCTGAACATAACATAACGCACCTTCATCGTTGTTACATGCTGCACATGCACACACGGGCCATTTTGCAGGCCCGACGCCGTTCAGGCCAAAAACCTGAATTTCGGGCTTTAAGCCTGATATCCAAGGCTTACAGGCCCCGCCGACGGTTCAGCCTGACAGCCCGAGAAAGGACCTACAGGCTCCAGCCTGTTTCCCTACAGGGAAACTTCCAGGCTCTTGCCTGGAAG